ACCCCTGCACCTCTGGCCTGTACCCCAGTTCTGTGTGCATAAATAAATAAATCTTTAAAAAAAAGAAAATTGTCTATGACTGATATTCTAAAGTAGTCCTGAGGTAGGAGGAGGTAACCTCCCTAGCAAGATAGCTGCCTAAATATTTAGAGAAGCCTCGGGCTCTTGGTTTGTTTTCCTACAATGGTTTAAGAGGTAGTATAGAAGGTGCAGATTTCTAATGCCATGATGGAGCTGGGTGTTATCTCCTCCAACCTTTCCACAGGCCCGGCAGTGGTGTCGCCTCCAGGTCAGAGTAAATTCACTTGTGCAGATCATACACATCGTGGCTCTGGTATCAGGAATCCAGATGGGAGCCTTTGATCCAAGAGGACTAGCGTCTTCTTTATTTTCTGTGTCTGCCTGTGGAAGAAGAAGGGCTTCTCATTATCTCTACACACAGAGTTGAGCCTTCTTCTTCAACAGTGGTGTTCACCAGGCCACTGGTGTTCCTACTCAGGAGGTGGAAGAAATATGGCAGTTATAGTTTTCATGTACTTAGGGTAGTAAGATCAGCTACCTGCAACCTATCAGCATTCTTAACTGGTTAAGAAGACGCATGTCGTTATGTGGTGACAACTGATTAGTTTATCTTAAGCTATGTTGTATTTTCTAATTTCTAAATTTTCTACAATGAGGTAAATTTTTGACACTAGAAAAAAAAATACAGTATATGCTATGTTACTCTAGAGTTACAATTAGACCTTAATAAGATATTCAACTCTGAAATGATGCACATACCTTCATGAAACACATATTGTACTCCTAAACCCCTGGGAAAAGTCTCTTAAAGGTAAAAACTGAAATGCTCTGAAAATGAAATCAGGAAAAGACAATACCTCCTCAAGACTCCTAGTAGGACAGAATGTGATTCTTTTCTTGGCATACTCTTCTATTGATCTAGAGATAGCTTCCAGCCATTCATCCCTCTCTGTGGCAGAACTGTTGGGGGCAAAAGAAGGTCCCATCAACCAGATGTCAGCTTTTATTCCTTGTCTTTTTCTTTTCTTTCTTCCATGGCAACAGAGTCCACCACCTCCAATGAGACTGGCCAACAGGCAGCCAGTCAAAGGTTATGTGCGTGAGCCACCAGAGGCGCATGAGCGAACACGCGACACTGTCTTAACAGCAACCACAATGCTTTCTTCCCTTCCCAGAGTGTTGCTTTATGTCAGAGGGCTTTCAGTTGCCTACATGTGAAAGTATTTTTGTTTGGATGAAATGTTATACACTCAATTAATCACCAAGGAGATTTCAGGGACATAAACCTAGATTTTAAAAACATCCTAACTAATGAAGTTTCAACTACACAATTATAGTACTGACATTTAATTATTTTCAGATGACCAAAAGGGTAAAGGAAGTACATTCTGGTGTCATCACAGATGTCTAAGGAGTGTCTGATGAGGGAAACAGTCTGCAGCTATCACCAGGACTCTTCTACCTATTCATCCGAAATGTTATGTTCTTACCTTCAGCTCATAAGGAGCTATCTGATTCAAATCTAGATGGAAATGGGCCAACTAGACAGACAGCCTGTTCAGAAAGGGGCATTCTCATTCTACTTTGTTGAAAAACACTCCCCCCAAAACATCCAGTAACTCCAAATCATCACTGGGATCAGTACATTTTTTTTTTCTAATTTTAAGTATATTAGAACTTCTAAATACCATTTTTAAATTAAAAAATTTATCATAATCATACAAATACCAGGGAAATACTTTGACAAGTACCAGGAAAATCCACTTCCTTTCCTACAATAATGCACCTCCCAGCCCTCCCTGGTGGTGCAGCGGATTAAAGAACAGCACTAAGCTAAAGCCACTTCAGCCTGAGTTTGCTCCTGCCCTGGAGGTGACCACATGGTGCAGCAGACCTCTCCTGACCCGCCTGTTGCTCCTCTCCACAGTGTACTTTGTTGATCTGCCTGTTCTGCTCCCCACTCTATTTGGTGAATCCTCTCGCTGCACCTGCGCCTCTGGCCTGTACCCCAGTTCTATATGCATAATAAATAAATAAATCTTTTTTAAAAAATGCACCTCCCTTTTAAATGGCATACATGCTACTAAGAATATGATTTTGTGAATATAAAAAGGTACTAATCCAGTTAACAAATAAAAATTAAAATGGACCTATTTCTCAAGCTTTGCTAATACAGTACAAACTAAATAAAATAGAAATAGTTCCTATCTCTCTAAACCAAACAAAACCTGATTCAGTTACTTGTAATTTTACCATTACTGACACACAGAGCTTTCATTTAACTTACAACATGTCAGCCAATTGTGTTAAATGTTTTACAAATTTGATCACATCTCAAATTCAGAACTGCCTCTTGGAATAGATATTGAATTTTATACTTCTCTCTTCCAAATCCTATCATCAACCTTTCACCATCAGTGCTTACAGATAAGGAAACTAAGGATTTGAAATGTTAGATAATTTGCAGTAGATACTAAATGATGAATTGGTATCAGACCAAATTGGGGAGGACTGACCTCTGTGCACGTTCTCTGAAGAAGTATACTGTAAGAACATGTGTTCAGGCTGCCAGTAAATATTCATAAAATATAACACCCTCCTTCCTCCACTTTTCACAAAAAGAGGTAACAGCATAGAGGCAGACAGCTAATTTGAGAATTACTATGATTTTGGGGGGGCCCTGGGGACACATGGAATGTAATTAAACTATGCAAATCATGTCACATATGCTGTTCTCCCATTTAATCATTCCTGGCTCTCTTGTGTAGGGTTTTGCCAAACAATGTTTACCAGTTCTTGATAACACATTTCTCACACACCACACACATCTGCCTGCCGCACTGAGTGGAGACTCCTTTTCTAACTGGGTAGCAGAAAAATCAGCAGCGAACTCAGATCAAAAAGCCAAGGTGTTTTTTTTTTTTTT